AATGACTATTCTAATACAATAGGACCCCATAGCCGCAGGATGGATGTCTGTTTCACTCATCCGCAGTTTGAAAATATCAAAAGAAAAAACTAGAAATACATATTTTCATGACGTATTTACCAAAACCGGCCACTAGAGGGAGTCGGAGACCATGCCATGTATTCTTGCTGGTGCAAAATATGTATTTTGGTCTCTGGCTCCTTCTAATGGCCAGTTCTGGTAATACATGGTAAAACTGTGTGTGTTTTTCTGGATTTTTCCTTTTCCCATGCTATGTGTAGCATTCACTTTTATCCACGATTTTCAGCATCCACGGGGCGCTTGGAACAAATCCCCCGTGGATGCAGGATTCCTACTGTAATATCCTCCACCCATCCGTATATTCAGCACGTTTGACAAACCAGGCCATAACGCCTAAGACTGGTGCCACATCTCCCCTCTTTTTCTCTTCTTTTCTTCTTAGAGTCATTCTCAAAGCAATACCTTGGACTCTACAGATCTGGAGGAGCTGATGGCCAACTTTACATTGAATTACACCTACGATGATGACTACACCTACGACAACAGCCTCGCGCAACCCTGCCACTCCACGTACTGCATGCAGTTCGGCGTCAGCATCCCACCATTTCTTGCAGTGGCCAGCATCCTTGGCTTAATTTGCAATCTGATACTGGGCGTCGCCCTGGTCCGGTGCCCTCGGCTGTGGGACCAGCCCCACCCCAGCAGAACAAAACTCGTCCTGATTTCGGCAGCCGGCACCCTTTTCGCCTCCACCTTGCCCTTTTTTGCCGTGGCAAGCAGTCGAGGCTGGATCTTTGGGGACCCTTTCTGCCAGGTGGCCCAGGGGCTAAAATACGGTTGCCTCTTTGCTCAGAGCCTGATGATGGCCAGCACCCTGTGCCACGTCCAGCGGGGCTTTGCCAACAAGATTGTCCTCGTTCTCTTCCTGATGGGCTTTGTGTGTGCCATCCCCGCAGCCATGAGTAGCAGCAGCACAGAAAATATCTGTATCCCAAGCCAAAATCTCAAGCTATTATCCTGGTCTCTGGGTCACACTAGTGTCAGCCTGGCTCTTTTCGACATCTTTCCGGTGATGGCAATTTTGGCCAGAGTGGCTCAGAAGTGGCGTGGGAAGAACCAGTGGCCACAGATGGACATAACCTGGCTGTTCCCCCTCTTCTGGGCACCGTACGGCATGGCTCAACTGCTGCACATCCTGCTACAGGAGAAGGTGCTGGTGGCGACCTGCCCTTTCCAGAAACATCTGGATTACTTCCTGGGGATATCAGAAGGGCTGGGCACCGTCCACTGTTTTCTGTGCCCCCTGCTCATTCTGGGATTCAGCTTCTGTCCACAAAAGTCTGTCCCAGCTCTCCACAGTGGCTAAAGCAGACGGCTACTTCCGTTACCATCACACTCCCATCCCTGGGACTTTATACCCCTGCCTCTTGCAAAGAAGTGCCAGACCTGATTTAGCATATGGTGAAAGCCAAACTTGGTCTGAACGCATATGAAGGTCTGTGTTCGGCCAACATCCACTCTACTTTCAGTAAATTCTGAGGTGTGAATAAATGATCAGTAAATGGCCTCCTATCCCTCTGCTTTTGTTCTTCCTTGGATCATTGTAGAGAAGAGACGTTGGTTGGTTGGTTGGTTGGTTGGTTGGTTGGTTGGTTGGTTGGTTGGTTGGTTGGTTGGTTGGTTGGTTGGTTGGTTGGTTGGTTGGTTGGTTGGTTGGTTGGTTGGTTGGTTGGTTGGTTGGTTGGTTGGTTGGTTGGTTGGTTGGTTGGTTGGTTGGTTGGTTGGTTGGTTGGTTGGTTGGTTGGTTGGTTGGTTGGTTGGTTGGTTGGTTGGTTGGTTGGTTGGTTGGTTGGTTGGTTGGTTGGTTGGTTGGTTGGTTGGTTGGTTGGTTGGTTGGTTGGTTGGTTGGTTGGTTGGTTGGTTGGTTGGTTGGTTGGTTGGTTGGTTGGTTGGTTGGTTGGTTGGTTGGTTGGTTGGTTGGTTGGTTGGTTGGTTGGTTGGTTGGTTGGTTGGTTGGTTGGTTGGTTGGTTGGTTGGTTGGTTGGTTGGTTGGTTGGTTGGTTGGTTGGTTGGTTGGTTGGTTGGTTGGTTGGTTGGTTGGTTGGTTGGTTGGTTGGTTGGTTGGTTGGTTGGTTGGTTGGTTGGTTGGTTGGTTGGTTGGTTGGTTGGTTGGTTGGTTGGTTGGTTGGTTGGTTGGTTGGTTGGTTGGTTGGTTGGTTGGTTGGTTGGTTGGTTGGTTGGTTGGTTGGTTGGTTGGTTGGTTGGTTGGTTGGTTGGTTGGTTGGTTGGTTGGTTGGTTGGTTGGTTGGTTGGTTGGTTGGTTGGTTGGTTGGTTGGTTGGTTGGTTGGTTGGTTGGTTGGTTGGTTGGTTGGTTGGTTGGTTGGTTGGTTGGTTGGTTGGTTGGTTGGTTGGTTGGTTGGTTGGTTGGTTGGTTGGTTGGTTGGTTGGTTGGTTGGTTGGTTGGTTGGTTGGTTGGTTGGTTGGTTGGTTGGTTGGTTGGTTGGTTGGTTGGTTGGTTGGTTGGTTGGTTGGTTGGTTGGTTGGTTGGTTGGTTGGTTGGTTGGTTGGTTGGTTGTAAAATTTCCAACCCCACTTTCTCCCTAAGAAGGATCCAAGATTCTATATATATAAAGCCAAAAGCCAAAAATAAGTATTCAAATACAGTTCTGAACATGGCACTTCAAGAAGGATGCCAACAAACTGGAGCAAGTTCAGAGGAGGGCAACAAGGATGATCAGGGGACTGGAAACTAAGCCCTAGGAGGAAAAACGGAAAGAACTGGGCATGTTTAGCCTTAAGAAAAGAAGACTGAGGGGAGATAGGATAGCACTTTTCAAATACTTGAAAGGCTGTCATACAGAGAAGGGGTAGGATCTGTTCTCGATTATCCCAGAGTGCAGGAAACACAACAATAGGCTTGAGTTATAGGAAGCCAAGTTTCAGTTGAATATCAGGAAAAAATCCTGTTAAAGCAGTACGGCAATAGAATTAATTATTTGAAGAGGTGGTGACTGCAGGCATTCAAAAGAAACTTAGACAACCACCGGGCAGATATCCTTTGATTTGCATTCCTGCACCGAGCAGAGTTGAAGTCAATGGTCTTGTAAGCCCCTTCCGACTTAGTTTTAAGTTTATGATTCTACTAAAAACAATCAAACAAATGCCACACTTAAACACAGTAAACAAGAGCAACACCAGAAACACATTCAAAGCAGGAGGGCACAACCATCCATTCAAAAAAAAAAAAAAAAAAAAAAAAAAATATCCTTTGATTTGCATTCCTGCACCGAGCAGAGTTGAAGTCAATGGTCTTGTAAGCCCCTTCCGACTTAGTTTTAAGTTTATGATTCTACTAAAAACAATCAAACAAATGCCACACTTAAACACAGTAAACAAGAGCAACACCAGAAACACATTCAAAGCAGGAGGGCACAACCATCCATTAAAAAAAAAAACCCAACTCAGGCAGTCACTGACTAAGGGAAAGCCTTCCTGTTTGCAGGAAACAGCCTTTGCCTGTTTGCAGAAGGACAGCAAAAGCGAGGCCAGCCTGGCCTCCAGTAGCAGGGAGTTCCAGAGTCTGCGACAAAGAAGGCCCTTTCCTGTCTCCCAACCAAATCAAGGCGGTGGTAGAAACAAAAGGCACGTTCCAGAGGCAGCCCCATATAGAGCTTGTTATAGTAATCCAGCCAGGATGTAAGTAAGACATGTGCCACTGTTGACAAATCAGACCCCCCCAGGAATGGGTGTAGCTGGTGCACTAGCTTGAATAATGGAGCTTGAGCAGATATTCAACCATCTCTCCGGCAGAGATGAAACCAACACGAACCTTGTGGGTTCACCATGTGTCACACGCTCTGCTTTTGAGACCAAAAGGCTGTTGGAATTAAGTTGACAATCACGTGCGTGTGAGCTGACTGAGGTCTGGCTCCCAACTTCTCCCATTTAGTTTGGACTGGTTTCAGAGCTGTAACTAACCATTTTGGCCATCTTCCACCCACTCCGCCAGAGGCATGGGTGTGAGCCCTCCCCACATGAAAACAGAGAAAGAGAAGACAATGTTCCCCCACCTAAAGGAAAGCAAAAGTTTATGCTTCCAAGAAAAGGAAAGTGAACAGAACCCAGAGTTGCCAATTTGTTGGAGTTTGTACAACCTCGCATCTTAGCTCTAGTAGGAGGGACTTTTCAGGGCTGGGATGACTGTCAATCTATCCAGCACTAGCCAATCATTACTTCCTGCCTCCAAATTCAAAGAGAGCCCCGCCTTTCTACTCATTGTTTCTTTCCCTCTCTTTGGAAGTCAGTTTGTTGCTTGGCTGCTGTTGATTTGTTCACAACTGTAGCCGTGATTGTAGTCAATTCCTGAAATAATATTTAAAGATGTGACCTATCAACCAATCGATCTCTATTTTTATATACTGGCCAGAATCCTATTTCACATTTAGACTTGCATAGGAGGAACGCCTAGGGAACATCGTCCCTGAGATTTCCTGTCCGAAACCTGAGACGCGGAGAATGAAACATGCACACACACTCCACAACCTGAATCTCGGGGCTAAAACCTGAGATCCAGCAACTTTACTGCTGTGGCCTCTCATCCACGGTGAAAACAGGGCAAAATGGCTGTGCATGGAGAGACTGCTAGGAAAGGAAGGAGCCAGAGACAGTGAACTCTTCTCCAGCTGATAGGACAGGGCCCTGATCTGTTTCGACTCTACCAGGGGAAACGGCCAAACCCTCCAGAGGTCGAACCCTCCAGAGAAGAGGAGCAAAGAGAAGGTTTTTATTGTTTCACCCAACTGCTTTGATTCAGCTCCTGGAGTTTTGGTCGGGGAGGCAATTCTGTGGCCATTCTAGAAGCTGCCTATTATTGGGGAGGGTTTCCTCTTCTCCTTATTCCCCTCCTTCCGTTCTGTCCATCTTGCATTCTGAGGTGTTCAACCCCCCCTCCCCCCCATATATTAAACTCCTTTCATCTCGAATGCTGAGGGGCTGGTGGTTTTTTTAAGCTCATATGAAAACGTGGATGTAATTTCGATATGTGTTTTGCTTGGTTCGTGCAATTGAACGCATCCTCTACCAAATGCACACCTGTTTGCGGGCAAGGAGTTCCCCTCGTCTCATGGATTTTTTAGCATTCTTTTCATGTTTATACTTCCCTTCTCCTTTTTTTGCATACTTAATACAGTGGACCCTTGACTTACAGAATTAATCCGTATTGGAACGGTGGCTGCAGGTCAAAAAGTCTGTAGGTCAAGTCTTAGCATTCTTTTCACATTTATACTTCCCTTCTCCTTTTTTGCATAATCTACGCATTTTTGAGGCATTTTACTTGTTATGCAAAATGAAGAAAAGGGGAAATTTCGAAGGATGTCAGCATGTCAGCTGACATCTGAGTTTGACTAGAAGCACATGAATTTCTTCTTTAGTTTTGTTTATGTAATACACCGATGTGGGGTCCATTTTCCCCCCGCAAAGGTAGCCCCCTGTCGGTCTGCCTGTCTGTGGAAAACCTCTCAGAGCATTAATGTGAAGCCCCAAGGCTTGGCGCCAAGACCCTGTGGCAAAGGTCACCAGCCAGCAGGGGAAACAGACCCTGAAGGTCTCGGAGCGTGTACAATCTCGCATGCTACCTCTATTAGGTGTGGCTGGGAGGGGCCTTTCTGGTCTAGGGTGACTGTCAATCCATCCAGCACTAGCCAATCATTCCTTCCCACCTCTGAACAGAGAGCCCCACCTCTCTGTTGAGTGCCTCTTTCTTTCCCTTTAGTCTGTTTGAAGCCAGTGTCTTGTTTGCTGTTGATGTGTTCACAACTGTAAGTAGTGAAATGTTTTTATTCTTTCCCCTCCAAACGTCTCAGACCGAGACTGTAAGCATCGGTTAATGAGAAAAGGATGGGATCTGGGGAACTTGAAGCTATTCTCTTTTGTGAGTCTTGTAGCTCTACTGCAGGGATGGCGAACCTTTTTGCGCCCGAGTGCCCAAACCGCAACACAAAACCAAATTATTTATTTTCGTAGTGCCAACACTGCAGTTAAACCTGAATACTGATGTTTTAGCTGTCAGAGAGATAAGTAAAGGGGAAAAAACACACAACTCCGTTGTCTGGATAATCATCATCTTTTTTCTTCAGAGAAAAACATAATAACAGAACTTTTAATGACACAAACACTTTTAAAATGAAAAATAACCATTAACTCTAGTAAGCGGATTTTTTTAAAAAAAGTAATACATTGTACACAGCCTGAAGCCGGGTAATTTATACAAACTTTTAAAATAATTATGTGCATGTATTTTTTTGATAAGGGATACTCAACTTGGCATGCTTTTGCACAATTAATGTGATTCTTGATGTTGTATGCATGCTGATAATTTGTCAAACCTTGGCTAGTATGCTGTTAGTTTGAGAGCAACAAATGCAGCACTCGGACAACCCAGATAGTGTGGCTGCTGACCTTGAGCCAGACATCCTGGAGAGTGAAGTCTAGTGGCCCTTAGAAAGCATGGTTAGCAACAAGGCCAGTGGAGGTGATGGCATTTCAGTCGAACTATTTAAAATCTTA